ATTTCTCAAAAAACTATATATGCAACTGCTATGTAACCCAACAATTACACTCTTTGGCATTTATCCCACAGAAATTAAGTCTTACGTTTACAAAAACAACCTGAATACAAATATTCAGCCTTATTCATAATAGCCCCAAAGAGGAAACAACCCAGATGTCCTTCAATTGATGAATGGCTATTACTGTGATATATCCATTCCATGGAATAATACTCAGCAATAACAAGGAACAAAGTATTGTTACATACAACAACCTGGACAAATGTCCAGAGAATTGTGCTGAGTGAAAAAAAGGTGACCCCAAAATGTTATACATTGTATGACTCTATTTACATATCATTCTTGAAATAATAAAAATGAATAACAGAACAGTGGTTGCCAGGCACTAAGTAGGTGGTGGAGGCAGAAAAGAAGTGGGTGTTACTATCTATAAAAGGACATTGGGGGTCCTTGTGGAAATGTGCTTCAACTTGACCTTATAATGTCAGTCCCCTGGTTGTGATAGTCTACTATTTTCACAGGATGTTACCATTGAGGGAAACTGGATAAAGGGTACATGGGCTCTCTGTGTTATGTCTTACACCTGCACATAAATCAGCAAGTATTTCCAAATAAAGAGCTGAATTTTCAAAAAATAAAGAAAAGAAAAACTTACCCTAAATGTATTTCTTAAAGGTGGTAGCCAGACCAGTATGGCAGATGAAACTAAAGTAAATTGAACAAGATAAATTCAGTGGTTAATCCATACAACATAGGTTATGTACAATCAGTAGAGTTAGAAGGTTGAAAGAATCCATCACCCACGGCAACAGGCTTCTGAAGAAGACATATCAGAATTCTTGAACAAATTCCAAAAAGTCTAAGCTAACATAAACAAGTCAAAAAAATCCTCAGAATTTTATGGTAAAATAAATTTTTAGTTGTTAGAAGTTGAAAAAAGAGGGTTTTAAAAAAATGAACTAAGGTAGTGTATTAAAGAAATGCAGTATTTTGCCTAGCCAGCATGGCTCAGTGGTTGAGCATTGACCTATGAACCAGCAGGTCATGGTTCGATTACTGGTCAGGGCACATGCCCAGGTTGTGGGCTCCATCCCCACTGTGGGGCATGCTGGAGGCAGCCTATCAATGATTCTTTTTCATCATTGATGTTTCTATCTCTCCCTCTCCCTTCCTCTCTGAAATCAATAAAATATATATTTTTTTAAATGCAGTATTTTGAGACAAACTTCTGAAGTGCTAATCTGAGTTGGAAAGGACTAACCTTTCTTTCAACTCTTGACTGATTCAGGTAACAGTCTTTCAGTAGTTTCTTCACATTTTTAGAGCCTCTTCATAAATCAAGACTTTCCAGATATGGCTTAATTAGTTTCTATTTAAACCCTAACAATATAAGTGATGGAGAACCTTTTGAGCTCAGCGTGTTAGCATTTTGAAAAACCCTAACTTAACTCTGGTGCCGTGTCACATATAGAAATTTTTTGATATTTGCAACCATAGTAAAACAAAGATGTATATTTTTGATATTTATTTTATATATTTAAATGGCATTTAACAAAGAAAAATCAACAAAAAAAAAATGAGTTCGCGTGTGACCTCTGACACGCGTGTCATAGGTTTGCCATCACTGGACTAGATGCTAAAATATATCAGGATGCAAGAAAGGTAAGGAGGAATGAGGAATTTAACTTTACCCACCAGTGAAAGGCAGTGTTTGATGATGGTAAGAGAAATTAATATGAAATAGTAAAAGAGCTTGGGTTTTACAATATCTAGAAATATCTAGATTCTTTTACTTCCATGGTCATATAACTTCGGGCAGTTTACATCTGCGTTTCAGTTTTCTCATCTGCAAAATAAGTATGCTATCATTTATTTCAAAGAATTTTAAAGGGCTTGGAACATAATAGTCACTTTCTAAATGGTAAGAATTATCTTTTTTTTCACCTGTATAAGTATATTATAGGATAAATATGAGAAGTAGAATTGTTGGGTCAAAGTATACGCACACATTTTATTCTCATAAAAGCTGCCAGATTACCCTTTAAATCAAACTTATTAATTTGTATTAACACCCCAATTGTAGGAAAGTACCCATTATCCCACACCCTGGTTTATTCTAGTCTTCCTTTCTTGTTTGTCTATAATGGATCTCACCATTCACTATCGATTTACTTATATACCTGTATATCTATCTATCTATATATATATAAAGCAGTTTCAGAATTCCTAACTTGTACTATACCCATGACAAACAAATTTACCTACTAGTGCACATACATTGTTTATGTACAGTTCATTTTATCTTTAGCCTTACATTTCTAGTCAAAGCATCCAGTTACCAAGATCAGTTTTTTTCTCCTACTCCCTTCAGTTGGTTATATCTTACATTTGTAATAGTTGGATTCACTGTCTGCATTATTTCTTGACCCCCAACATTTTGCTTTTATTGTTTTAATTTTAGCTTACATACATTAATGTTTACTCTTTGTGAAATACAGCTCAGTGAATTTTGAAAAATGCAGTGATGTATTTTAATTATTTAAAAAAATTTAATAATATTGTCCATTCAAAATTTTCTTATTCCACTTGAGTCACTTTTGCAAAAAGACTTTCCTATATGCCACCTACATTTTTCCAGATTGCTTATCATGATAAACTAGCAATATTGTTCTGCATCTTAATTTTCACTTAATATCACATTGTTTATATAGCCTTCATTTCTACTTAATTGCTTTAAATGGCTAAAATGTTATTTTAATAATAATAGCCAATACTCTATTGCAAGCTACTATATTAATGTCTTCATATATTAACTCATTAAATTATCGCAGCAATTTTATGAGGTACATATTTTTACTATATTTTATATGTAGTGAAATTATGCTGATTGATTGAGGGGCTGATTGTCTAAGGACACGTAGCTATCATGTGGTAAACTTGAGTTTTGAACACAGGCAGACTGGCTCTGGAGTCTGTGTTGCAAACCACCAAATTCTACTGTCTCTCATTGTGAACATGTACAATTATTTAATTAATGCCCTATTAAGAATTCCCTATATAATTTTTATATTTATAAGTTTTATAAGCCTTTTTTTAAAAAATTAAAGCTATACCTGCACAGCCCCCCAAAAATTCTTTTGGCACAAAAGTGTATAAATGCAAAGTGAAAGTTATCCTTTTCTACCCACAACCATGCTACCATTCTCATTTCCCTAGGGTGACTACTTTTAACAGTTTGCTTTATAGTTCTTCCAGTAAGTTTTATTAGAATTTTAACTTACTGAAAGTCTATTTGATTTTTCAACTTACCAACTTCAGGTAAAGTGTGTTGATATTACACTTGGAAAGATGAGTGCTTTAGAGCATTTATAATATTTCAAATCTTCCCTCTATAATTTTTCTTAGTGCTATTAGGCATTAATTTTTATTTTTCTAATGGTTATCTTTAAGAATATATTTAAAATATTTCTTGATATGTAAACCAAATGGACATTGTCTACCAGTTTCCTTCTATGAATTATGAAAAAGATTTTTTAAAAGGTTTCATTTTCTGTCTCCTGAGAATATGATTTCAATATATTTTCAAATGCCATTTGTTATCTAAAGAATTTCAAAACCTTTTAAAATTAAATTACAATTTGTTCTGACAGTTCTGTTTTCTACTTTTGTTTCTCCTTGAAATTGTACATCATTTTGGTTTTATAAATTCAATAGAATAAATATTACAGTATCAATGAAGCTAAGAATATATATATATATATTTGTGTATCTATATATACAGATTTATTTTGATAATTGGAAAAATATAACATTATGAGAAACTTGGGAAATATTCTTTCATTACAAGCAGCCCAAAATTAAACCTCTTTTATAAGGTGGCTTTTTTACAAAAACAATACATGTTACCACCTTTGAAACCAGAACATACAGAATCCAAAACAAAATATCAGGTGAGTGCTGAGTTATCCTATCCCAATACCAATCATACTCAACTATTAGGCTTTTCTAATACATTATGTAATTCAGTGGCCCCAAAACCAAAATGCTCATTAGAAACACTGGATTATCTTTTAAAAATACATATTCCCAGGTCCCACCTCTGACCTAAGAACCTCAGTTTAGAAATGGAGCCTAGGAATTTTTACTTTTCAAAAAACCTAAGGTGATTCTTATGCTGTCACCTGGTTATCAACTAGCATTTGAAAACCAGTTATAATGAATTGTATCCATTAAAATGAAGCTTGGACTACTAAGGTGACATGAACTAAAATTTTAGGCTGATTATTTCACACTTTATTTTTTTTCAATTGGATAGATAATGTAGAAGTTGTTTGAACAAAAGTTTTGAATAAGAGACTTCATTTTGAAGTCTATTTCAGTGATGAAATAGTTTGATTCCAGAGCTACAAATCTATGGATGTCACGCTGAAATTTCACTGTAATCCAGAATTTTGTGTACTGCTGTCTCTTAACCATTTCTGACACATATAAAGTATTCATCAGGAAGATTTTACTGTGATGTTCTAAGGGTTGAATGGAACTCATCACGGTTGAAATTCTCAGATTTAAAAGCAGGTGATATATGCCCCCACGTCAGCCTTTAAAGAATATTCCAGATATTTTCACTGGAATATATACTACTTCACTTCTTTTTTTTAATTTACTAAAACGATAAATGTTTGTATGGATCCTGATGTTGTCCATTGTTTAAGCAAATGCAACTAACACTGGAAGTTGAATTCTTTACTATTTGTGAAGTATTTACAAATATTCCAGGTAGGAAAAAGCTTTGACACAGAATAGTATCACAGTTAGAAATTGAAAAATTTTGCATTAAAATTTCAAATATTTTTAAAATATTTAAAGTTAGTTTTCTGTTTGTAGAAGGTAGGAGGATGAATAGATAGACTGACAGATTGCTCAAAGACTTAGCTAGAAAATGTATTGTAAATTCAAAATAAATGTTACAGAATGTCTTACCTTTTTTTTAAATTTTACAGAATCTCAACACCAAGGACAGTTTGGATCCTTTTCTAAGGCTTCCAAACAACAAAATATCAGCCACTAAAAGGAGCTACCAAGATATGTCCAAATATACAAACACTTTAAGTACAGAGGTTATAGAACACGAGGACCAAGATCCTCCTTACCCAACACATTCAAAACCTCCAAGCCCTGCTGATACAAACCGGCCCAGTGGTCTTGATAGCAGCATTGTGGACGCTAAGACTGTAGACACTAAGAAAAAGTTCGCCCCTGATCCTGATATCATCACAATACAGACTTTAAGCAGTAAGAATAATTTAGACGGTGAGCCTACCATTACCACAATAAAGAGTTTAGATATTAAGAATCACTTGAAGGAAAGACTGCCAGCTGCGTCTTTGCCAAACTTTGAAGGAGAGTCATCACTGACTGGAAATGTAGGTGTCCATACAGGCCGCCTCTCAAGATCATTAAGTTTTACTTCCCTCCTAGACAACTTAAAACAGTCAGTGGTGCTCAAGCCAAATTTAAGTGAAAATCTTGAAGACCTTATAGATAAATTACTTTTTAAACCAAAAATTCCTAACGGCACTGAAGCAAGAGAGAAAAGCCATATTTCTCCACTTCTGAGTGTTCATGATAAACCACCAACAAGTTTGGAAGACAAAATACTTGAAAAAATCCAAGATTTAAATTACTGGCTTTCAGAAGAAGATATTTTGAATTCAGAGTCTCCTGTAAATCCAAAAACGAAAGATATTTCTGGAGTTTCATTGTCAGAAGGTGGGCCAGGAAATTCTCCAGAGATAGAAAGGGACCTCATCTCTGAAAACCACTTGGAGGACGGTGATATAGCTTTTCCAATAATAAAAAAAAGTAGTTTCAAAAAGAAACATTTAGAAAGTGAAGTGTCTAGCCCCGAACCAGATTTCAATAGCATCGCGCATGATTACATTATCAAGCAGATATTCACTGCCCCATTCTTCTCCAAGTTGGCTATGGGAGTGGAAGAATTGAGTGAGACACAGATGAACTGGCAGAATCAATTACCCATATCTTGGGAGAGTTTATCTTCAAATATTCCAGGTCACTATGAAGAAAATGATGATGGGAGAGAATTGCCAGAGGCCAAATCTGTTGCAAGCCAGATAATTGAAGCATTTTCTGTAGATACTCTTTTAGAATCTGGGATCATCAAAGTGGTAGAATTAGGTGAAGACCAGAAGGGTTCTTTGCTGCACAGAGAGACAGCCTTTGCTGGAGAAAAGCCAAAGGACTCCACAGAAGTTCATTCAGAAATCAAGAGCAAAACAGATTTTCTTTCAAAGCAGAATATACCCATCATTCCCAAAGAAACCACTTCTTTTTTGAATAGAGCCACATTTATAGACAAAGGCCAAAATACCTCCCTACAAGACACAAAATACCAGTCAACACCAGATGAAAAAACAGATTTGCCAAGTAATGGTCAGAGGCTTGATAGAGAAGAAAATGATCTAAGTTCTACCTTAGAAAATTTAAGTACCTTGTTAATGGGTAAACTTAATGAGCCAGATGTAACAATGTTAAAATCCTTTTTCAAAAACATATTTAATGTTTTTTTAAAACATAATCAGTCTGAAAAAAGAAGACAACCAGAAAAAGAATTAGAGAGACTAATCCAACATCCTTTTCTAAATAATGCAGAAGACCTTGAAGAAATCAAAGAGAATTTTGATGAAGCGGACAAATTAGACAGAAAACCTAATTTGAATCCAAAGTTGCGTGTATTTCTAGATGCACTCTCAGAGTCAGAAATTAAAAAAATTAAATCTGAGGTAAGCAAACATATCCAGCATTACCTTGTAGAAAGACTTTCAGAATCAGGACATATCACCAAAGAGGATTTACCCAAAATCTATCAAAATCTGTATTTGATAAATGAGAAAAGAGAACCAAAAGAGCAAAATGTTTCTCTGGAGAAATATTCAGAAATTGTAAAAGAAACGATGTCTTTTGTAAATAATTTTAATCATCATTTTATAGATAAAAATTTGGAAATAAGCCTGAGATCCTTTTTAAATGAAATTCTGCAAAACTATTTCCTAAAAAATCTTTCGGAAAGCAGTTTATTTAAAGAGACAGAATCTGAACCTATGCACTCAAACATACCTTCTCTAAAAACTAAAAGTTCTTCAATATCTTTTCATGAGTTAGGACGAGACATTTCAAAGGGGAGGTTTGGCAGAAGGCTTGAAATAAACATGAAATATCCTATAAATAAATCTCTGCAAAACCATCTTATAGGTTTATCAGAAAATGAACTATTAAATCTAAAAGCTGATTTAAGGAAATACCTTCAGGTACTTTTTATAGATAAACTTTCAAAATCAGGACTAATCACTGAAAGGCAATTAAAGGGAATCAGCAACCGTATAAATTTGATTAAGTCTAGTTTCACACCATTAAAATGTATAAAGCCAGATTTATCTTTCAGAGATGAAAATAAATTTATGAATGAGCATTCAGAAAAGCAAAATAAATATCCAAAAGTTGTTCATAAAGCTACTTTACAAAAGGCACCTGAGGATAGAATTGTAGAAACAGAACTGACCAGGAAGGATGAAAAAGAGTATTTTCCCTTACAGAATACTAAAGAAAATCCAGCAATAATTAGAGAACAGAAAACACTGACTTTAATTAAAGTACAACCTTCTTCCAACAAAAATACCCAAGCAATTCCATCAAAGAAGCCATCAGAAAGTCCTACAGACATAGTGCTTAAGAAACAAAGGAAAACACATGGTTTTGTGCAGCTTTCTGAGGAAGAACATTTTGATTTTAAGACAGAGATTCAAAATCCACAGAGTTGGAGTGGTAAATCAGAAATAACTCAATCAAACACTTGCTTTGAAAGCACACTAAAAATGAAGTCCCTTGAAAAAAAGGAGCAGAATATCTATAAATTGATGGTACAGGAAAGACATGAAGTATTGTTGCCACCGAATGTTAGGATTCCTTATTGCAAACTGCCAAGTGAAGATGAAGAAGACATAGGTAAATTCACGTTTCCTCCCAGGCAGAGGAACACTTTAACTCATCTCAGTTCAGAGGCTGGGAACAACCATTGTCAGAGACTGAAAGGATATAATAACAATAATAGAAAACAATATTTAGAAACACTTGCACATTCTGAAAAAGAAATACAAACTCTTTATATAAAACCAAGTGAAATTTGCAATGAAAAATGTGCAAAGGTCCTTGAATCGTTTAAATATAAAGTTGTGGAAGCTGAGAAAAACTCAAAACCATCCCTCTTCCCAGAAGTATTGACGAGAGGAAATCTAAAGCCCAAGGTCCGAAAAGAAAGAGACCATGTCAACAAACAAACAAAGTCACCCAAGATGGTGAAGATACTAGCACCCACGCCGCCCACCAGGAAAAGGCCCAGGAAATCTGTCCCGCGGACATTGCTTCATTGGACTGCAAGAAGAACGATACACGTAATCATGCTTTTCTAGTCTCCCTCTGTATTTTGCGAAGTTCTGTAAATAATCTGTAGGATATCTATATCTATATATTTACACATAGGTGTATCTGCATGCAAGTGTGTGGGTAACCTTCGTTGTTCCAAGATGTACAGATCTCCAAAATTTTAAAAAAAATCCTTCTGACATTCAAATGTCATCTTACCTCATCCAAAATGTAATCACAAAACCAGGGGACTGTTAACACACTGAGTACCTTTGTGTAAAATAGAGAAAGGGCACACCCTCTGGAGTATTAGGAGAAGGCACCCTTCCCTCTGGGGAGATTGTGCAGGCTGACCCAGCCTGGAGCCAGAGCACAAGCCCTGTCCCTGAGAAACTGGCTGGCTTTCAGCCCCAGCTCACCCCTGAGTCAGGGGCCATTGTACAGGCACAGCCCGAACAACCATTGGCTGTGGCTGTATGCTATGGAAATATATAAGGTTTTTCAGGTCACTGAACACCTGTTTCAGTGAACAAATAGATTATTATGTGCCAGTTGTTCTGCTAAGCATTAGGGTATGCAATATTTCCAATCAAATTATGAAGTGCAAAATTTTATTTTCTAGCCTTTTTTTTTTACCACCCCCCCACTGCTATATTGTATGCTGACTAGTTTGGGAATTCAAATCTATTTTTAATATTACATAAAACAGGAAGGTAAATCTGCTATTAGACTTTATACAAACTATTCTAGGAATGGAAGGGATGTATTTTAATTTTCTTGACCACTGCTCTTATCTATATAAACAGGCATGACCTACAATGTAAATTCATACATTGTAATGGTAATTTGATGTGCATAATTCTATCTTTGAGAAAATAGATTTAAGTTCAAAATAGTTGAATTTCCATAGTAAATTGTTTTTCCTCCCTCCTTCCTTTCCTTTCCTTTCCTTTCCTTTTTCCTTTCCTTTCCTTTCCTTTCCTTTCCTTTCCTTTCCTTTCCTTTCCTTTCCTTTCCTTTCCTTTCC